TATTAATAAAAGTTTAGAAATAATTTCTACATTTTTATAAATATTTTAAATAAAAAAATAATGTTTATAAATTTTTATATCTAATTATGATTTTATAATAATAAAAAAATAAATGTTATATATAGAATAAATAATATAAAAAAAAATATTTAAAGTAAAAAATATATTTTTTTTAAGAATAGATATATGGAAAAAAATGAAAGAAAAAAAATATAAATAATAATAAAATAAATTGTAAATATATTTATATATATATATAAATTTTATATATTAATTAAATAATATATATATTAATATTATATAAATTTGTATTAATAATTAATAAAAAATTTATTTATATTTAAATAATTAATAAAATAAATATTAATATTTTTATTTGATTAAAATATTTAATCAATTATTAAACAAAAAAATAAAAATTATTATATAAAAATTAAAAATAAAAGTTACCTAAATCTTCTGAAAATAATTATTCAAAAGATTAATCATATTTAGTATCTTTAAAAATATTAGATTTTTTATAAAAGTCCATATTATCTTATTCTAATTCATAATTATTATTATTATTATTGTTATTATTATTATTATTTTTATTATTATTATTATTATACACCTATTCTAATCCTATTTTCACATTTTAATTTTATTTATTTTCTAATTTTTCTTCTAAAATTTTTTTTCATTTTTCAAATTATTTATATATTCTTCTAGTTTTTATTTATTTTCTATATATTATTTATTTTAAAATATTAAAATATTTTTTTCATTTATTTCATTTTTCAATGTTTCATCTTAAATTGACTTAAATACTTAAAATTTTTAATTTATTTCATCTTTTTCATTTCTTTCTTTTTATAATTGAGTTTCCCATTATATTTATATTTTTGTATAAACATCTTCTATTTCATTTTTCCTTTTTTTTTCTTCTTTTATTCGATTTTCTAATTATTTAATATAATATTAATATTGTTCTTCGATTTGTTTTTTATATCTTTCGAAAGTTTCTTCTTATTCCTTAATTTTTTTCTAAAATTTTTTTTTTTTTTTTTAAATTTTTTCTTCTAAAAAATCTTTTTCTTCTTCCAATTTTTATATTTTTTCCTTTAAATTTGTTTCAATATTGTTATAAATTTTTTATTAATTTTCTTTTTCAAAATTTTAATTATTTAAAATTCTCTCGTTTTCTTTATTTATCGAATTTATTTTTTGTAGTTCTTCATTTAATTAATTTTCCTTTTTTAAAAACTCTAATTTTTGTTCATTTAAATTTTATTATATAATTTGATTTTCCATTAAAAGTCTTTCATTTTATTTTTATATTCCGAATTCGAAATTTTACCTTTATTATATTTAAAAAGTTGATTTTTACTCATATTCTTATTTTTATTATAAAATTTATTTTTCTAAAATTTCAATTTGCTATTTGTAGTTATATTTTTATTTTTCGTCTTTTTTTTTTAATTTTATTTTAATAAAATATCTTTTTGGCATATTTCATTTTCCATATATTTTATTTTTTATAATAAATCTTCTATTTTTTATTTATTTTGTTCCATATATAAATTATAGTTTTCATTAAATTATTTAATTTCTTATTTTTACATATTAATTTCATTTTAAAAGTTATCTATATATTTTTTTTTTTAATTTTAATATTTTATAATTATTATTAAATAAAATAAAAAAATTAAGTAACTAATTTATATGTTTTTTTCTTCAGTTAATTACTTTAAAATATTCATATTTAAAGTTAGTTAGTTAATATCTTTATCTTTTTAATTTATTAATTCAATATTAAATTAAAAATCTTTCTAGATTTAACTAATTTTAAGTTCAAAGTTTTAAATTTGCTAATCTTTTTCATTTATATTTTTTTCTAAATACTTTGTTTTCGTATTTTATATTAAATATAATTCTTATAATTTTTATGTATATATATCATCATCTATTAAATTATTATTTTAAAAATCAATCATTTTTATTTATTTATTTTTTTTTAAAAAAAAAACAAAAAACAAAAAATTAATTTAATAATTTTTATAAACAAAAATAATAATATGAATATATATTAAAAAAAAAAATATTATTTTACTAAAAAAAAAAGAAAGTATTTAAAAAAATAAAAATATAATAACAATAATACTCAATTAAATGATTAATCAATAGTAGATTTTTAAACAAAAAAAGTTTAAATACTTCTATTTAAGCTTTTCAAAAATACATTATTACCCTAACTAAATTAATATAAATGACTATAATTATCTTTTAACAACTACATACTTACTTCACTAATCATAATTCTTCCCTATTCACCATTAGATTCCATTTTATTAGCAATCATAACATCAGGTCCATACATATCATATCTAACAATATCTGTTCCTATAATACCTCCAATATAAGTTCCCTTTATATTTATATTTATATTTATATTTTTATTTATATATATTTATATTTATTTATTTCTATATTAAGTTATTATTTTATTTACTTTATACTTATATTTCTAATTTTTAGATTATTTTAATTTATTTATTCATCTGGAATATCTTATATTTCCTTTTCAATTATTTCACTTTTTTTTTCTATTACTAATTAATCATCAAAATATATATTAAATAGTGTATTTTATATTTTTTGTTGATTAAAATTAAAAATAAAATGAATATAATTTTTTTAACTTTTTTAACTTAAATCGTAATTAATATTATTTATTTCCTATAATAATTGAACATATTTGAAAATCTTCTGTGTTTTTAAGTGTTCTTGTTTTGTTAAATAAAACATGAGTTGTAGCACATATACTCGAACTTGGAATCTTATCTAATTATTAAAAAGTGGATTATGTTAAAAATAATTCATTTTATTCATCAACTTCTATATTTTCTTCTCCTTTTTATACTTGAAATGCTTTTTTTAATATAAAAGTTAAAAATATATATATATACATATATTTATATATTTTTTTACGATTATTGAATTTTTATTTTCTTATATAAATTATAAATAATATTAATATCATAAAAAAAGTATAGTAAATTTGGAACAATTATATGGTACTCTAAAACATTTTCTTTTTATTAATTTTTATATTAATATAAGAATTATCTTTGTAAATTATATATATACTTAAATACCATAAAACTTATTTTCAAACTAATCATAAAAAGAAACTTAATATTAATTCATATAAAGGAAATAATCCTAAATAATAGGAGTTAATAAGCTGAAAATAAACACTAAAATGAACGTAATAATATAATAAATTTCGATTTTTTTATTTTATTAATTCTTAAAATTAATAAACAAAATTTACTCTTTTTTATTATATAATTTATAATACTTACATTCTAATCCAACATAAACTACTAAAACAATGCACCATTCTGTAAAATTTAGTTATTAACCCCTAAATAAAATATTATTATCTGTTAAATATTCCACATTAGGGTCTTTATTTAATTTAATATAGCCCTAAAACTGAAAATTTTAATTTTATAAATGAGAACAATATTTAATTTTTCCATTTAAAATTTTTCTATATTCAAATAAAAAACCTTTAATCTTTGATTGATTATAAAATATAAAAATTATATTTAAAAACAAACATAAAAAGTTAAAAAAGCTAAAAAATACTTTATGTAATCTAAGGACTTGTTTTTATTTAAAATTAATTCGAATCTTAATACTCGAAATTATTTGCTGAACAAAAATTACTTTTCATATCTAAAATAAGGCAATCAGCTGGACAAATATCTCCTTATTTAAGTATTATTATATCTCCAATTTTTATATCGGGTATGTTTTTTAATATACAAGTATTTATTTTTTCATAACTTTAGTTTTATTAATTTCTCTATACATTGAATTTTTTAAAAACTTAATATTATTTGTTTAATAATGTTTAAAAAGTCAATTTTTTAATTTTCAAAATATATATTTCTCGAGTAAATAATACAATAAAGCATAAAATAAGTTATATATAATATAAATATTCATAATTATATCTAAAAAAATAATAAAAATATATATGATTATAATTTATATATATAAGTATTTAACATATCTTCGTTGCTATATTTATTCATCATTTATATTGCTGGATATAGAGTTAATATATTAATAATTAAAAATGTTAAAATATTCCCAATTCTGGAAAAATATTTAATAAGAAGATTTAAAATAAAATTTAATAAACTTCTATTCTTTACTTTTATGTTATTTATATCATTATTTTAGTTGAAATTTTAATCTAAAATATTTGTTATTTCTCCATTAAATAATTCAATCTTTTTTTATATATTTTAATTTAAAACATATTTATAAATTTTATTATTAATAAATTAAAATAATCATATTTTTTAACTAATTATTTTAAATAAATACTTTTCGTTAATATTAAACAATATCATCATTTTGTATTTAAATTAAATTTAGTTGTTTATAAATTATTATATTTTAAATACAGTTAAATAATTATTATATATTAAATAATTAAAATATATAAGGTTAATGTATTATATATTTTAGATTTTTTAAATATAAATATAAAATATTATAATCTAATATATTAAAATAATAATTTATTATTAATTAAAAAAATTGATTGTTATATTTAATTATTTTTTTAATTTAACATGAAATAATAATTTATATAATAATTATTATATATTTTAAAATTTATGAATCTATAAAAATTATAATAATATTTTTAAAATAAATATTTATTAATAATATTTTATTAATTTATATTTATAATAATGTAAGATTTTATTTTTATAAATTATATTAATAATATATGATTCTATTTCTAATTATGAAAATATAAAAAAAAATGAAATAATTTTAAAGAAGATATATAAATAAAATATAAGAATGTGACAAATAAAAAAAAAAATTATATAAATATAAAAAAATATATATATATATATATATATTTATATAATTTTAAAATATCTATATTTATAAATAAAAATATTAATTTTAAAATATATTTTTTTAAAAATTTTATATTATTATTTATATATAATTACAATAATAAATTTTTATATAAAATAATTGATTTTTTTATTAAAATGAATAAAATAAATATTTAAAATAAAAAAAATTATGAATTAATAAATTCTTCATTTTTTATTTGCATGGACATTTTTCCAATAATTGCTAGTTTTTTCTGATTCCCAATTAGGTTTCATAGTATCACTACCAGGAGTCCAAGAAGCAGGGCATACTTCACCATGTTGATCAGCATATTAGAATGCTTAAACAAGTCTAAGATATTCTTCAACATTTCTTCCAACAGGGAGATCATTAATTGATGAATGACGAAGTACTTTTTTACCATCAATAATAAAAGTACCTCTTAGGGCGATGCCAGAGTCTAAAAGGACACCATAGTCTCTAGAGATGGATTTACTTAAATCAGAAAGTAGATCTATTTGTAGTTCTTTTCCTAATCCTCCTTAATTACGAGGTTTGTTGACATATTCCATATGAGAAAAGTGACTGTCGACTGAACATCCAATAACTTCACAGTTATGTTCTCTAAATTTGGCAGCTAGGCTTGAGAATTAAATAATTTCGGTAGGACATACAAATGTGAAGTCTAGAGGATAAAAGAATAATAATACGTATTTGTTACTGTAATCTTCTAATTTTATTTATTTGAAAGTCTTGCTTACAGGAGAATAAGATGTTCCTGCAAATGATGGAGCAGTTTTAGTAACAAATGCTTTTACGGCTGATTATATACTCATATTATTTTTATATATTTTTTTTTAATTTATTATTTATATATCTTTTATAATTTTATTAATTTTTTTTATTTTTTTTCTAAATGTTAATATATTATCATAATTAAATATTTAACTTATAAATTATTGTATTTTTTATATCTTTAATATATTTTTTAATAAGTTTTTTTTATATTAATAATATAAATCAGAATATTCTTTATTTATTATAAAAATTATTAAAAGATATAATATTAAATGAAAATTATAAATAAATAAAATAAATTAATTTAAAAAATTTCTATATAATTCTATTAATTATAATAAAAATTAATTTCATATAAATATATTAAAAGAATGATAAATATTAAAATAAAATAAAAATATATATATATATATGAAAATTTTTGTAAATAATAAATATAGGATACAATATGTTTAATCGAATAAAAAAATAGATTTTTAATATATAAAAAAAAAAAAAATATTAAATAATTAATTATAATATTTTAAAATATATAAATAATATATAAAACTAGATTAAAAATATATTTATATATTAGTTTTTAATAATTATTTATATAAAAATAATAAAAAAAAAAAATAAAAAAAAATAAAAAAAAATATAATACTATAGTATTAAAAAAAATACAATATAAAATAAATATATATATAAAAAAATATAAAAAAAAAAATTGCTTTTATATGAATAAATAAAATAAATATTAATATAAAAATAAATATATTTATATTTATATATATATAAATATATAAATATATATATATATAATTATAATATTATTTTTTTATTTTTATTAAAAAAGAATAAAAATAAAATCTAAATATTTTTAAGAATGCTATAATTATTATTATTATTTTTTAATAATACATAAATTATATTTTTTTTAATTAATATAAATATTTAATTATTAAAAATTTTTTTTCTAATAAGATAAAAATAAAGTTTAACAAATTATAATTTATTAATTATTTATTTATTTAAATTTTAATTATAAAAAAAGGTTTTTAAAATAAAATTAATATTTAAAAATGGGTTGTGGAGTTTCTAATGTGCATAATATATAAAATTTTATACAGGGATAATTAAATATAAATCTAATATAAGCAACTTTTTCATATCCATAAAACATTTTATTCCCAACCCATACATTTTACGCTATAATATTATTCGGTTTTTAAGAAAAGCGTTCCAAAAATTAAATTTCATAAGAAAATAATCCTAAATGGAATTAAGAATTTATTTTTCAAAAAATTTAAGAAGATGAGACTATTTAAATATTAATATTCGAATATAATATATATACGTATGATATTTTTATTGGATAATGTTTCTTTTCATTTACTTAAATATTAAAAGGTGGAGACTAAAATCGTGTTTTATTTCTTTATGATGATTTAGGATATAAAATAGGGGATTTATGTCTTAATATATAGTTTGTATCTTAAAATATCAAACATCCATTATATTAAATAGAAGATAATCCAGGATTTATTTTAGTAAATGCTATATAGGCTAACTTAATACGTGATAGTACTTTATTTGAAGAATATAATATGCGTTTAAGTGTTTAAATAGCAGAAAATAATATCTAATATAGCACTAGAATTAAAAAATAAGGATAATATCCTAAATTTAATTCTGAGTTTATATTTTTAAGAAAAGATAGGAAATAGTAATTTTTAATGTTTAAAGTTTTTGATGAAAAAGATGAAAATTAACTTAATTTGATTGGGACAGGATTTATTTCGATTTGGAGAATTATTTCAAATAAAAAAATCCGAAAGAAAATTGCTTTATTTTGGCACTCGAAAATTATTGGAAATTTAGAAGTTTAAATTGAATTTTAAGAATTTTTTTATTCGAAAAAAATAAAAAAATAATCTCTGTTTTTGAAAATAAAAAAAATGAAAAAATTATTAAATATGAAGACAATTCTATATATGAAGGTTAAATAAATGAATAAAATAATATGAAAAATGGGATAGGAAAATATACTTTTAATTTATTTAATTAATAATTTTATTATTAAGGAGAATGGATAGATGACTTATTTGAAGGAAAAGGGGAACTTTTATATGGAAAATATTAAAAATTTGAAGGATTTTTTAAATAGGGAATGAAAAATGGATAAGGATTTTTAAATTTTTAAAATTAAATTTTTTTAGAAGGAAATTTTTAAAATGATTTTTAGTAAGGAAATTTTTATTGGATTGAAAATTAAAAAAAAGTTAAGTTTATTTCGAAAATAATTTGCTTTTAAATTAAAATTAACTTCTTTAAAAATAATAAAATCTTAATAAAATATAATAAGGAGTTCAAATTTTTAGTGGATAAAATTTAGTTTCAGAAAATAAATAGTTTTGTTTGATTCTTAATTAAAAAGGTACTTTAAAAATTTTCTAAATTAATAATAGAACCGAAATTTGGAATAATTCATATTCAGATCCTTACAATGCACCTTATATTTATTAAATTAATCCTTTTAATGGAAATCTTTAAGTTATTTCGATTTTCGGTGTTACTTTTTAAACTCCTATTAATTAAATTGGAGTATTTATTAATTTTTTATTATTTTTATTATTTATTATTTTAAGTAAAATAGTTTAGTTCTTAAAAATAATGGAAATTTAGAAATTATTGATGAAAAAACTGGTTAAACTATTTATATAGTATATAAAAATAATTGAAAATTAATTTTTTATAAAGCTTAAATAATTTTAATTTTCATAAAAATAAAATAAAAAAATAATGAAATCATGACTAATAAAAATAATAAAAATTATTATTTTAATCTTAATATAAATTTTATTATATTTTAATAAAAAAACAAAAATTTTAATATTTTTATAATAATTATATATGCATTTTATAAATATTTAAATTCGAAATTTTTGATAAATTTAAAGAAAACAATTATATAAAATTAAAATTATTTTGAAAATATTATTTATATATATATATATACATATTTTTTTATATATATATATAAACTTATATACAAAAAAATAATTTATTTTATTTTTTTATTCCTTACTCATTTATATGTCAAAAAGTATCGTTTAAAATACAATTCTTTTTTTTATAATTATTATTATTATTATTCTAATATTATTTTTCTAAAGAATCAATAGTGTGTCTAGTCGAATCTTCTATTTATGCTTAGCATTATTGTTATTTTTAATAAAATACATTTGAGTTTTTTTTTTAAGCGTCTAAACCATTCATATATTTTATAGTTTATTGAAAAAATTCACAATCACTTTCGAAAAAATCATCTACATTTTGTAAAAACTCCTAGCTTTTATGTAAACATAAAGTTTAACTTTACAAAAGGAAATTTTGAGAACTATTTTAAAGTTGACTTTATGAAGATTAAAATAAATTATTTAATTATATAAAAACAGATATATTTAACATATCATTCAATAAAATTTAGTAATTTTTATTTATTTTATTATTGACTGTGATTTTAAATTGGTTTAAAGAAATAAAAGAAATAACAACAGAATTTTACATAAATAAAGACTTTTATAACATTTAATATTTACCAAAACACTTTTTTATTTGATATAATAATGTTTTCAAGGTAATTATGTTTTATTATTTAAAATTTATTATAAAAGAATCTATTTTCTTTTAACTTTTATCATCATAAATATGAATTAAAACCCTCTTTAGTTTCTTAGACTTTTATATGGGTTTTAAATATACGGCATTTATGCCTTATATATAATAGTTTATATATTATTTCATATTCTTATTTTATTTTATTTTTTTTTATTTTATTTTTTTCTTTGTTTAATCTTTATTTATCATATATATAGTAACAAAATTTTATAGATATATTTTTACTTTTTTTTCAATTATTTACGATAAGTCTATTTATTAATTTTTTTATATTATACATTTTATTATCAAAAAATTAATATATTCTTAATCTAATTAATTGTTCTTTTTTAATTTATAAAAAAAATTATGGTTATTTAAAATAAAATAATTTCAATTATTATATTTTGTACTTAATTAATTTTTTTGTTATTATTATTTTTTAATTAAAAATTAATTTCTATTATGAAAACAATAAAAAAATAATATTCTAATTTTTAAAGAATAGTAAAAAAATTAAATTTAAATAAAAATAATATAAATGAATAAAAATTAAATAGACATAATAATTTTAATTTTTTTTTTAATAAAAGAAAATAATATAATTTGCATTTATATTTTGTTAATAAAAGAAAATTATTTTTAGTAAAAAAAAAAAATTATAAAAAAAGAAATATATAGAAATTTTAAATTTCAAATATAAATATTACAAATAAAAAAATATATTATTAATTTAAAAATGTACATATAAATTTAATTATACATAAATTATAATTATATTATTTACAAATTTTATTCATTAATTAGATTTATAGTCTATTTTTAAAGTATCTACAATATCTGTAAATTAATATACATTTAACCTTTTTTTTAAAAAATATAAAAATGAAAAAAATAAAAATATTTACTTTAATTAATGAATTCCCAAGCCATAAAGATTTTTTATTTTATAATTATTTCTAATTTTTTTTAATCCATTTTATAATTTTATTTTACTGTCTTATGATATATTTCTATCTTTAGATAAAATACAAAGGGATTTACTTTCCATTTTTTTTTTTATTAATTTTTTATATAAATATTTATTAAAACATAAAAAAAAAATTATAATTTAAAGCAAAAAAATTATATTTGTATTTTTATAAATTTTATAAGCAAAAAATATTTTGTATATTTGAAATTTTATATATATCCCAGAATTAATTAGAAAAAAAATATAGAAATATATTTAATTTAAAATAAACTAAAACTAAAAATAAAAATAAATATCTAATTATAATTATAATTAATGATAAAATATATATTTATAAATCTAATTATTTCTGAAAAAAAGGTGATAAATTTAATAAATAAATAAATATGTAATTTATATTTATTCAATTAAAATTTCTAAAGTGTATAATTTTTATTTTATAATTCTTAATATTTTTTTTTTATTTTATATTAAAATAAATAGTATTGTATTGCATTTTAATAATTATTTTTTATTATTAATAATATACGAAATAGTGAAAACAATAAAATAGACATTCTACTAACGAAAAAATAAATTTTATAACTAAATAATTAATAAAAATCTAATAGTTTAAATTTATAGAAGATAAAATTAAAATATGATTTTTATTTAATTTAAAAAATAATAATTAAATATTTTCAAACAAAAATTATAAATTTTATAAAAAATTTAATTGGTAAAGAGAATATAATATTTATTAAAAATTAAAAAAACTTCAAAATATATATTGATATTATTTTTATAATTATTTTAATTTATCATTATATAGATTATTTATTATAATAATTTTTTATAAAAAATAATATTTTAAAATTTATATTTGTTATAAAATTAATTATTTATAATTAATTTCATTTTGATAATTATTTAAACAAATTTATTAAAAAAAATATTAAATATATTAAATTTTCAAATAGAATATTTTAATATTATATCTTATTAAATTAAATTTTAAATTTAAATATAAAGAAAATAATAAAATAAATTATAAAATAACTTTAAAAAATAAAAATAAAAATAAAAAGTTTATAATTCTTCTTTTTTTAAAATTGAAATTATAAATTTGAATTAAATTGAAAAATAAAAAAAATGTATTAAATAGATAATATATAATATAAAAGTTTTAATAAAATTATTTGTAAATATAATTAAATTATTTTAAATAAATAAATTAATTAAATGCAAATATTAAAAAAAAAATTATTTTAAATTATGTTTGAATATTAATAATTAATAGAAAACAAAATAAAGTTAAAAATATTTGTAATAATTGCATTGAAATAAATATTTAAAATTTAAAATTATTATTTTAATAATATTAGATTTAAAATTTTATGATTGAAAAATAAAGAAAATAGTATTTTATAAATCAAGTATAATATATTTAAATATTAATATTATAAATAATAGTATAATTAATAAAAATTTAATAGAAATACTTTATTTAAAAATAATTAAACTTATATTATAATTAAAAATAAAAATTTTAAATAATTTAAATTATAAAAAATCTTTGTTAATATATTATAAATTAAAAAAAAAAAAAAACTTTCAAAATACAAATATTAATAAAAATGAATATATTATAAATAAAAAATATATGTATACAAAAAAATATAAAAATAAATATAAATATAAATATAAATATAAATATAATATATATATATATATAAATATTTATATATTTCAGATATAATATTTTTTTTTATTTTAATTTTTATATTTAATTATTATTTTTAATTAAAATTTTTTTATTTTTTATCTTTACTAATTTAAATTTATTCTTAAAATAAATAGTTTTTTTTTTGACAATTTTTATATTAATTAATGAAAAATTAATATTTATTATTTTCATTATTCTTATAGGAATTAAAAATAATTATTAATTTATTTATTTTCTTAATACAATTATTTTTAATATTAAATTTTATATCAAAATATATAAATAATGTAAACTATTAAAAAAGCTTAATATAACCCATAATAACTTATTTCTGATTTAAAAGCGTAAGCGTAAAAATCAACTGAATATCAACAATTAATTTAACTTTTTGAAAATTAAATAATAACTTAAGCATCCTAAATAAATTAAATGTTAACTTATGGTCACTATTTATATAAAAATGAATATCAAGAACCCCTTTCAAAATCCAGAAATTCTCAAGATATATAGTCATAAGATTAATAAAATGAAAAGAATCTTTGTAAAAGTTAAATAATACTTTAATAGTAATAAAAATTAAACTAATAATAAGAAACAATCGAAAAATTAACCCAAACAATTGAAAACGTAACATAATAAAATGAAAATTTGAGAGAAAAAATAAAGGTTTCAACGGAATAAAACGAAAAGCAAATAAAAAAAATTCTTGACAAAGACGATTTAATATCTAAATATTAACAAAAACTATAAAAAAATGAAGATGCCTTAAAAAAAAATGCCCAATCAATAATTTAACTTAAAGAATAAAACGAAAAAATACTCAAATAAATAGAAGATATCACTATAGACAGAAATAACCTTTTAGAACGTCTTTTATAGGAAAAATAAATTTTTGTCGAAAAAATAAATATTTTAAATAAAATGAATGAAGATTTGGAAATTCAAAAAAAATAATTAGATAGTGATATTTTATATTTTAATACTTAAAAATAAGATTTCTAAAATTAATTGCAAAAATAAGGGCGCAGCTTATCCTCGATTTTCCCTTAGTAAACTTAAGAAGAAAAGAATTCATAAAACAATGATGCTTAAGGATAGTTTTAGCCTTTTAAAATGCTCAAAACCCTCCCTAAACACCATAAATATGAAGTTTATTAAATAAGCCAGACTCTAAATGGATAACTAATGGCCAGTTGTGGCGGAGACAACTAAATAAAGATATACGATCCTTTAAGCTTGAACAATTTTACAACTATATAGGCTTCCGATACTTCATAAATATTCACAAGTGTAGCATTTGCCCCTTTAAATGACCTAATAATGGTCGGATCAAGTGATAAAAGTGTTTAAATATACAACTACCACACTGGTAAGTTAAAAGTTTAACTACAAGGTCATTGTGACAGGGTAAATTCTGTATAATTCACATCGGAGAAAGATAAAGTAAGCACAGGAAGTTCTGATAGGCTTTTAAAAATTTGGGATATAAGTAAAGGTTCATGCCTAAAAACTATAAACTGTGGTTCAAATGTGCGATATATAGATTATTTTTAAAGCGAACCACATATAATAACAGGACATAATGATGGTTCAATTAGATTATATTCAACAAATTTACAAAACAATAAGCCTTTTTATAACATTTAAGGAATATTTGAAGGAGGAATTACCTGTTGTAGATTGTCTAATTGTCATAATTATATAGCGTGTTCCAGCGCAGACGGATTTTAGATAAAAATTGTTGATTTGAGAAAATTGAAAGTCTTTAAATAATTTGAACATTAATTTTATTTTAATAATCATGAATTTAATAAATGTTGCTTTGGAAGTAACGATAAAGTGGTTTTAGCAGGAGGAAGTGACGGATAGATTTTTATGTGGGATGTTAATAGTGGAGTAAACAAGGGCGTTTTTAAAAATGTAAATCATTAGGGGGTTATTGTAGCTTTGGATTTTCATAATGTTACTGGGTATTTATATTCGGGAGATAGTAGGGGGAATATTGTCATTTGGAATAGTTGATTTTTTTATTTTGTCTTTTTTTTTTTGTGTAGTTTTATTTATATATATTATTTTTTTATGTGTTTTAATTCTTTATTTCAAACTATAATTTTTTAATTTTATAGAATGTCATATTAATATTATTTTCTGTTAGTAAATTATCTTTTCAATTTATTTTCCCTAATAATATACTTTTTATTTCGTCGTCTTAAGTAACATCTACAGCAGTTAAGTCTCTCTTTATATTAAAATTGTATTATTTTATTGAAATTTTTATTATATTATGTCTTAATATATATATTACGGAATTTTATACTGTAGCACTTGCTCCTTATTAAATTAAATATTTAATTAATTATTTATTATTTTTATAGGCCGCATAATGTAATAATGTATCTCCCATCTTTTAATTTTTAATTATTATTAAATAAATATATTATTAATTATTAATAATTATTTACTTTATTTATTGGTTCATTAATATTAAATCCTGTTTCTTTTTATTTACTTTCAATTGTTGCTTTCAGCTTTTTGAAATCTTCTAAATGTAAAAGTACAACTAAGTTATTATTTGGTAAATTCTAAAAAATTATTATATTTTATTTATAAATTAAAATATAATATTTTATTTAATACAGATCCTTATGCACCCATATATTTTAATATTATATATTTGCAATTTTTATTTATTTTTTTTAATAAAAAAATATTAATAATAATATTTATAAATTATAACAATAAATTAATTCAAAAAAAAATATATAATAATTTTATTTTTTATTATTTTAAAAAAAAAAAAAAAAAAATATATATATATATATAAAATAAATTTAATTTTTAAAAAAATTAATATAACATAGATATAATAGTGGTCATATAAAAAAAAAAAAATTAAAAATAAATTATAAATATATAATTTTATAATATTAAAAAAAGATAGAAAATAAAAAAAACATTTTTAACTAATTTTTATTTTTAATTTTCATATATTTTTAACAATTAATATCTAATATAAAATTTAATATAATTGTTAATTATAATTACAATTTAAAATAATCACAAAGATTATATATATATTTTTTGCATGATAAAAAATTATATTATTTATTTTTAAAAAAATAAAAAATGAATATATAAACAAATATAAATGAGGATAATGAAACAAACTTATTATTCAAATAATTAAAAACAGAAACATTAGAAAAAAGAATATACGATTGGTTAAATTATGAAGGTGTAAGAATGACTGACCCAACCTAAAAATAAATCGAATATTATTAAAAAAACCGATAAAAATTATCAATATCATTCCATTTTTCATAAAAATTAGATTTATAAAATTCACCTTTATTAAGAAAAAGAAGCAGTTTATTAGCAACTAATGATTGTTAAAAAGGTTAATAAATTATATTTAACTTTGATAAATAACATAACTGAATAAAAAAATTATTACAATTAAATTAAATTTTTTTATGAATAAATAAAATGAATAAAAAAAAAATTTAATAAATAATAAATTATTCATAATTTTATTTTTTTCTATTTATAATTTAAAAATAAATATTTATTTATTTAAATTAAACTTTTAATAGTTTAAACTAATTATTTATTAAATATTATATATATTTTCCTTATATTCATTTTTATTTAATAAAAGATTTAATTAAAGATAAAATTATATTAAAAAAAAAAATTAATCAATTATTTACCAATTCATAAACAATGAAAAAAAAATTTTGTAATTTATATATATTATATAGTTAATGAATTCTCAATGAAAACTTTTATCTTCATAAAAATCAGCTACGTACTTTCTTTTTAGCAATTCATAAATAGTTAAACAAATAATAAAATAATAATTTTTAATAGTCATTCTAGTAGACAAGCTTTTTGAAAAACACAATATAGACTTAATTTTTAATTATATCTCTATTATTTGTTAGAACGAATAATTAAAAATATTGCCTATATTATATCAAAAGAATTCATGAAAACTATAACAAGAAGATAACTAAATATAAAAACTCCCACACTTTCAAGTCTATCGAGAGTTCTTTTTTTATTAAATAAGATCTTTAGAGTTTATTATTTCAAAACATTAATGCTGTATATAGGGTAATTTTAGTATTAAGTTTATAACTATATTTATACAATTAAAATATTATCTTTATATAAAATATATATATATATAATATTTAAAAATATTAATAATACCTTTTTAAAATTGTTTTTAAAGCATTTATACATCAATTGTATTAATAATATTAATGATGATTTATATATAGTTTGTTTCTAAATATATGCCAAAAAGCATATAAGGAGTAAGATATACGATTTTAGTGAATATTGCGGATTAAAAAAGTAATAATTATTATTAATAATTTTTATATATTTTAATTTTTTTTTATACTAAATTTTTTCAATTATTTATCAATTTTTTTTATAAAATAAATAATGTTAAATAAAAGTAAAATATATTAAATAAATATTTAATTTTATAATTTATAGAAATTTAATTAAATTTATTTGATTTAAAAATAAATTACATTTTATAATATAATAAAGGATATATTTAATTAAAATTTTATATATAAAAAAAATCTTTAATTAAAAAAATAATATTAAATATATAAAAAAATCTATCCTTACTAAATAAAAAAATATATATAACTTTTATAAATATAAAAAATAATTTAATATTTATTATGGATTAAATTAATTTTATATTCTATTTGTGTTTTTTATATATCTTTAAATAATATTTATAATTATATAGATTTATAAAAATATTTATGTAGTTTTTAATATATATAAATCAGTATAATAAATAAATTAAAAAAAAATGAAAACATTAAAATATTTAATAATCATAATATTAATTAATATAAAAACAAACTTCCAAACAAAAATACATGAACATACATGTTAGCATTCAAAACATAATTTCGATCCCGAATACCATCCTATAAACCCTTCGAATTATTTAAAAAACTACAGAAATTTGGAAACTATAAAAGGTCCTATCCGTATAACTTTTAATATAGTAATACCTGATGATTTAAAGGCATTAATTTTAGATTTTCATTTATAAATAATAAAAAAAATAATGAAATACATCTAATTATATTTTAGCCAAATATTAGAAGTAAATTAATTATAAAGAAACATTTATCAATTAAGTATACCATGCAATGGAGTTTCTGTGCCTCTAGAAATATCCAAAGAAGGAATCGAAAATAGCGATTTACATATTTTTATTAATTTTTAAAAAACTAATGATAGTTATGTTGCTTTTGCTGGTCCTTGTTAAATATCTCCAAGACCAACTTTTGGTACTATGACATTTAATTTAAATTATTTAGCATAGAATATAAATTTTTTAGATAGTTATTATTTCCAAAAAATCATGGAAACTGTTATTCATGAAATGATTCATATTTTAGGTTTTTCGAATTCTTTATATAGATATTTTACTGATGAAAATGGGTATTAATATTAAAATTTACTCCAAAAAGTTTATTTTTTTTTTTAAAAAAAATAAATTAATATATATAAATATAAAGGTTATTATAAGAAATGTGCCGACATAAATAATAACATCACCTAAAATAGTTGCAGCAGCCCGTTTAATATACTAGTGTGAATAAATAACAGGCATGTAATTAGAAAACGAAGGCTCAACATCATCTTTAGGAGTACATTGGGAAAAAACAATAGCTTAAAATGAAATAATGAACCCTTCTGTTGTTTAAGGATATGCTTTTTTAACAAAACTAACTTTAGCATTATTAGATGATTCAAATTTTTACACAAAAGTAAATTATTCATATGAAGCTGACCTTATTTGGGGACAGGGGAAAGGCTGTAATTTTTTTAATAAGGGATGTTAATAATTAACTACTGAAGCTAAATTCGATGAATTTTGTTATAATACGAATAATTTATAATGCGATTTTTACAATTTAGGCTTTTCTTAATGCAAGACTTAGGGTTTTTCTGATAAATGTACTTTTTTTTAAATCTTGGCAGGTTTAGATTGTACTAATCCGAATATTACTTCGATGGATTCTTAGGGTTTGGGGGATTTTTTTGGATATAATAGTAGGTGTTTTTAGAGCAATATTAAATTAAATGAGAGTGTATTAACTAATTTATAAGGGAGATGTTATAAATATAAATGTGATTTTATAAAAAATAGTATTATTGTCTATATAGGGAATTCATTAGAAATTAACTGCCTTTAAAGTGGACAATAGATTAAAAGTTAAATAGGCTCAGGAAGTATTACATGTCCGGATTTTAAAAAGATTTGTGGAAAAGAAATCGTTTGTTATTAAAATTGTAATGGTTAGGGGATTTGTAATGGGGGTAAATGCACTTGCTTTGAAGGTTTTTCTGGAAAAGGGTGCTAGTGTAAACCTGGGATGATTGAAAATACTTTAAATTAGGAATGTGGGTGTCCTTTAGGATTTTTTTTAGAAAACAATTAGTGCTTTTAGTGTATGGAAAATTGCTTTAAATGCCAAAAAAGGGACTTTTGTGAATTATGTAATGAAAATTTTGTTTTTTTAAATTCTTAGTGTGTAAAAATATGCTAGGAAGGGTTTTTTAGGGATGAAAAAAGTGAAAATTTAGAGTGTTTGGAGTGTAGTTTTGGATGTAAAAGTTGCGTTTTTTCACCTAATAAGTGTACAGGGTGTTTTAGTGGATTTTTTTTGGAAGAAGAGAAGTTTTTTTGTTGGGAAAAAGAATGTCCTAAGGAAGGCTTTTTTTAAGACAATTAAAAATGTGTTAAATGTAGTTAAAATTGTCAATTTTGTGATTAAAAGGAATGTTTTTAGTGTATTACTGGTTTTTTTTTGTAAATCTAAAGCAATTCTTGCGTTTAAAAATGCTCAGAAAATGAATTTTTGGAAAACAATAAAATTTGTAAAATTTGCCCTTTTCCATGCCTTTCGTGCACAGAATAGGGTAAATGTACTTCTTGTATCAAGTATTTTTTTCTTTTAGAAGACTCAGAGTGTGTTTAAAAATGTCCGCATTCTTATTATTAGAATTCATTATATTCTAGATGTGATTAATGTATATAAAATTGCCATTAGTGCAATGAAAGTCCTATTTTTTGCCAAAAATGTGATCTAAATTTTCACTAAATAGAATTTTCTTGGATAATTAGTTAATAAAAAATACCTGATAAATGTATAGAAGAATGCCCTAATGCCTATATAGTAGATTTTTAGTCACAAAAGTGTATTTTTGACATTAAAAATACATGCAGTGTTTTTGAAAATAATACATAATGCACAAAATGTAATGATGGCTTTTTATTGATTTCGTAAAATTTATAATGTATAAAAGAATGTCCTTAGTCTTTTTTCTACCAAGATTATTAGTGCAAAGAATGCGCCCAAAACTGCCTTTAATGCACTTCTTTACAAAACTGCTTTTAATGTATTTCTCATGATTTTAAATTATTTAATAAAAAAGAATGTGTTTTAGCCTAAAATTGTCCACAAAACTTCTTTTTTTCAACAAATAATAACTCTGAGTGTATTTCCTGTATTCCTAACTGTGAAAAATGCACAGAAAACAGCCAATAATAATGCCTCTAATGTATCCAAAACTATCTATATATAATTAACAGCAAATATAATATTTTCGAGTGTATAAAAGAATGTTCTATAGGCTATTTTTATTCCCAAAATACACTATAATGTCTAAAATGTCCATAAAATTGTTCTTTTTGCTAAAACCAATAATAGTGTACTTAATGTTTTTAAAATTTTAAATTATTATAAAATAATTAGTGTGTATCTACTTGTCCTGAATTTTATACTGAAAATAACGACAAAAACACATGCTTGCCTTGCCCTATAGATTGTTCGATATGCTTAAATGAAAATTAATGTTCTAAATGCGCCCAAGATCTACTTTTGGTCCAAATTGAAAGCCAAAAAGACCTTTTTTGTATTAAAAAATGCCCTTAAGGAACCTTTTATGATTAAGTATAATTTAGGTGTTTGCCTTGTTTTTCAAATTGTGATTAATGTTTGAATAATAAAGAGTGTCTTTAGTGTAGTTTAGGTTATTTTCTTTTGGAATAAAATTAATGCGTGCAAAAATGCCCTTTAACATATTTTTAAGAAGAGTCTTTTTGCCAAAAATGCCTTAATAATTGCTCTATTTGTGAAAATACATAAACTTGTGCCTAATGCATATAAGGCTTTTTATTTATTTAAAACTCTTAGGGATATTTTTGTCTAATAGAGTGTCCTAGTGGTACTTTTTATTCACCATAGACTTTCTAGTGTTTAAAATGTACCCGAAACTGCCTTAAATGTGCTGACTTGATAACTTGTGAAGTATGCGAATCACCTTATTTAGTTTCTCCTTAGACAAATATGTGCGTTCTGGAATGTTTTTTAGGCTTATTTTTCAATAATTAGACGTCTTAGTGTCTAGTATGCCCTTTTGAGGATTGTTTAAGGTGTTCTTCGGCAATATAATGTGATTAATGCATATAAAATAAGTATTTATTAGAAGGAAAATGTATATAGGAATGTCCTTTGGAATATTTTTCTGTAAAAGAAGGAGAAAGTAACAAATGTGAAAAATGTAATATTTAAAATTGCATTTAATGTACTTTTAGTTTATGTGAAAAATGTAAATAAGGCTTTTTTTTAGACTAAAATAATTTATAGTGCATTTAATGTCTACCAAAATGCAGTTATTGTTCTAGTTTGGAAAATTGTTTTTAGTGTGAATTTCCTTTAATTCTATTTGAAAAAAAAAAATGTCTATAAGAATGTCCAGATGGATTTTTTTTAAATAAATCCATTAATTAATGTTTTCCTTGTATGGATAATTGCATTTAGTGTAAATAAGGAGAAAATATATGTCTTTAATGTATTCAAAATTATACTTTTTCAGAAAAATATCACGCATGTGTCCCTTAATGTGTCCTTGGATATTTTCTATTGCCTGAGAATCCACAAAAATGTGAAAAATGTAGCCTAAACTGCCAAAAATGTTCACAAAAAGATTCTTGTGAGGAATGCTTTGAGCCTTTTAAACTTTTTATGGACAGTAAGATGTGTACATAATATGAAATATGTCCATCTAAATATTATCAATAAGAAACTAAATGCATACCTAAATGTAACGACATGAATTGCTTAGAATGCGATTATGAAGAGCCATTTTTATGTAAAAAATGTTAGGAGAATTACTTTTATTTAGATAAAAAATGTGAAAAATGTTCGGATGATTTTTTTTGCGATTCTTGCAGTCAAAGGGGACTTTTTTATATAGAAAAAGATAATATTTGTGTCGAAAAATGCCCTTCATTACATTATTATGAAAATATAATTTTAATTTAAAATAAAAAAAAAAATGAATGTATAATTTGTCCCTAATAAAATTGCTAGAAATGCGAAAATGGTTAAAAATGTATTTTTTGTGAGGAACAATATTACCTTTTTTAAAATTAATGCTTTTTTTAAAAATGTCCTACTTTTACTTTCTATAACCAATAATATTCAGTTTGCGAAAATTGTATAATAAATTGCATTTAATGCGAAAATTAATAAACATGTCAAATTTGCACAAATTCATTTTTTTTAAATTAATATTAAAAATGTTCTAAATGTCCTAAAAATTGTCTTAAATGCTAAAATAGGATTTCTTGTGAAATATGTAATGAAAAATTATATTTTCATCCAATTTTTCGTAAGTGTGTAGAAGTTTGTGGATTTGGCTTTTTTGAAAATAATAATAATTAAAAATGTGATAAATGTCATTTTTCTTGTGCTTCTTGCTTAGGAGAAAATGATGATTAATGCCTGGAATGTAAAAATAGTTTTAGTAAAATTGAAAAAAAATGCGTTAAATAATGCAAAGATGGATAAATTAATAAAGTAGATTTTTTTGGAATATAAGATTAATGTGTGGATTGTTTTAAGGGGTGTAAAAAGTGTTGGGATATATTCAATAATTAGTGTTAAGAATGTTTAGAAGGATTTAGTTTATATGAAAATAATTGTATTAAAAATCAATGAGTTATTTTTATTATTATTAATAAAACTATTATTTATGTATTTGATAAAAAATAAAATAAATAAATAATTTTATATTAGGGTATAAATTTTATAAATATTTTTAGTTTTAATAATTTAGATTTTATTTAATTTTATAATAAATAAAATTAGAAAAATTCTAATATAATAATATGGAATTAAATAGAAAAAAAAATTTAATATAACAAAATATAAATAAATAATATATATATTAATATATATTATATAAATATATTTTAAATATCAAAAAATAAAATAAAATTAAAAAAAAAAATATTTATATATATAAATATTTAAATTATTTTATATAAAATAATTAATAAAAATAAAAGTATAAATTATCTATATGTATATATATATATATATATATATATATATATATATATATATTATTTTTATTATTTTTTTAATTTTTTAATAAAATATTTTTTTTGTTTAATTTTTATTTTCTTATACATAAATATTTAAATATTTTTTTTTATATTATATCAATTTTCTAACTAAACTAATTTGTATATAATATCTTTAGCTTCTATATTCATATATTAAATTTAATTTTCCATTTTAATTTAAATTTCCCTATTATTTTTTTATATTTTATTAAGTAATCCATATTTTTGTTCTATCGAATAAAGTTAATTTTATTCATGATTTCTAGATTTTTAATAATTAGAAAATGATAGATTTCTAAAAGTATTTAAAACATTTTTATACTATTATTTTTTATTTTTATGTTTTATTGCCAAATTTTCGATTTTTTTGCATTCCAACATTAATTCTTATTACAAATCATTTTATTAAGATATTTTTTATTATAAAGCATATTCTTCAATTTTTTATTTTAAATATTAAATTTCAAACTTTAACTATTATTTATTACATATCTCTTATTCTAATTTTTTTATTGTAAAATTTTAAGAAATATCATTTTTTTATTAATTAAATATTAAATTTATAAGATTAAATTATATAGGCAAAAAATCTATTAATAACTTAACATATTTCTTTTTATTTTAAAAGCATTATATAAATTACTTAAATACATCAAAAAATTATTGTAAAAGTTCATCATTTTATCTAGTGTTTTAATTATTTACATATTTCTTTTAATCATTAATTTATTCCTATTCCTATTATTTTGATTTATCTGTTGTCTTTAATTTTTCATCAGTCATGCTTTTTAATTTTATTTTATGTTTTTGATTTTAAAACAGTTTTTATTATTATTTTAAATGTATATTAAAATATTAATTTTAATTTTTTAAAAAACTATTATTAGTCCTTTAAGTGCTTTTATAATTATCATTTTTAATATATATTTTATGCACATTACATCCTTCTGTATTTAATCGTTTTTAATCTAATTAATTTCTCTATTTTGTTTGACTTTTATTACAAAATTATTATTAAGAAAATAATCTTTGTCTAATGCCTAAAGATTGAGACAGAGATTTGCATTTCTTGTTATGCAAAGTGAAGTTTTATTTTTATATTTAAGAACCAAAGTTTTATTATTATATTAGTTAATTGAATTTTAATTCTTAAGGTTATATTTTTTTATTTATTTCTGAACTAGAATTATTATATCTATGAATTTATATTTCTATTTTTTTAATTTTCAAATTATTTAAGAACTTTTTTATTTACTTTATTTTATAATATGGGCAGCAATCATATATTATAAATGAAGTATTAGTCTTTAAATAATTTAAAATTTACGTTAAATAATTAAAATTATGGTATTTTTATTTAATATAAAATAAAAATAAATTTATATGCAATTAATATTATTGATAAGACGAATAAAAATAATAATAAAAATTTAAAAAATTCAAACTTCTTTTGAGAAATTATATTATAATGTTTTTTATCAAATATAAAAAAATTTAATAATTTATAAAATATAATTTTATTTATTTATAAATGATTATTATTTTAAAACTTTTAGAATAACTTATTACAAATAAAATAAAACATTAAAAATTAGATAATATTATATAAAATAGCTTAATGATATTTTTATTTCATAAAAAAATAATAAATTTAATTATATAAATATGATAATAAAAATTATTAAAATTTTTTATTTTTGATTATATATTGTTTTTTAAAAAAAGTAAATGAAACATCTATTTATATTATTAAAGAAATTGTTTTAATTAAGATATAAAGAGATTAAATATATAAAAAAAAAAATCATTAATAAAATAGTATATAATTCAATTTTTTAAAGTTTGAATATTAAAATTAAATATTAAATAAATAAAAAAATTTATAAACAATAATTAAAAAAAAAATGATTTTAACAATCAATATGTAGTATTTTTATTTTAAATATAAAATGTTAAAGTTAAGCTCATATATAAAAAAAGCTTTAATTAAAAAAAAAAATTAATTAGAATTAAATATAAAAATAAATAAACATATATAAAAAAATACAAAAAACATTATTATTAATAAAAAATAATTATATAATTTTATATATTAATTTATGTAAAAAAAAATTAAAATTTAATAAAAATAACAATAAAATTTATATAAAAATAATACTTTTAATACATTTTTATATATATAGAAATCAAAAAATAATTATATATATTATATATATAAATGAAAAATTTAAAATTTTTATTATAATATAAAAATTAAATTTAATTAAATTTTTGGTAAATAAATATAAACAAACATATATAATTATTAATAAAAATAAAAATAAAAATAAAAATAAATATATATATATATTATATATAAATATATTTTTATACATATCTTTTTATATATCTTTTTATATACATTTATAAATGGATACATTAATATTTTATATTATATATTAAAAAAAAAATATTTTTTATTTATATTATAGTATTATTCAAAATTAATATAATGTCATTTTTCTTTTTCTTATAGGCTTATTTATTTATTGAGGTTTTTTTTTTAGAATTTAAATAAATTCACTTAATTCTTAAACAAGTTTGTTTAATTTGTTTTATTTAACTGGACTAGGTTTTTTGAATATAAATTCTTATTCTTACTCTTCCATTTCGTTTAAGATTGATTAGTTTTAGTTTTATTAATTTAATTAATAGGAGATATAGCTTTTTATGTAATGGTCTTTATCTTATTCTAATACTTCCATTATTTTTTTTATTTTTTATTATTTTATTTTTTTTATTTATTTTTTTTAGAAAATTTATTTTATTATATTAGCAATTAGCAAAAAAAAAAAATTTGATACATTATTTTTTGCTTTTATTTATGAAGTAAAAAGAGTATTCTTAGAATATATTATTATTATATAATTTTAGCCAAAAGAAATTATAAAGGTTAAGTAAAATACTTTTTATGAAATGTCTATTTTAATGATAATGTTTATTTATTTTTCTTAATTTTTCTTTTATTAATAAAATATAAAAATAAATTATAAATTAAAGTACAAAATTAGAATTAATAAATAATTTATTTTAATTTATTTATAAATAAAGCTATATAATGAATAAATGCTATCTAAATATATACATATAATTTCTCGTATTATTACTATTAAACAATGAATTAACCTAAATGATATTAGTTATCCAAAAATACTTACAGTCGAACTAAACTATAATTTTTTTATAATTTAGTTTTAATTAATGTTAGACTTAATAGTATCATAATATTAATATAAAAATACCAATAGTTTTTAAATATGGACAAATTAATTAAAAATAATAGGTAACCTTTATCTTTAATAATAAATTTTTAAAATAAACAAATTATAGAATAAGACCAATTAATATTATTTAATTTTAAACATATGCTTTTATATGATTTAATAAAAAAATAACCTTACTATAAATTTAATTAGATATAAAATAAATGAATTCTATATATTTATATTGAATTTTGATTATTTTTTTTACTATTATTAATAAAAATAAAATTTGATATATGTAGATCATATAAATAAAATTATTTTTATTTTATAAGTTCTAAAATAAATTCGATTATAAGTAAATTTTTAAAATAAGTATACATTAACTTTTATGTTTGTTATTATAAATATATATCTAAAATTAACGAATATATAAAAGTAATAAATAATAATTAATAATATTATAATATATTATAAAAAATATTTTTTTATTTTTATCTTCTTATAATTTTACTCTAATAATAAAATTTTAGAAAATATGTTTATTGTGTTTTATTATTATTATTATATTTATTATTATTAAAAAATTATGGTTATTATATACATTTTTAATTTTTTTTATTATTATTTTTTTAACTTAAAAAAAAATATTCTATAAAAATATAAATTAATATAATATAAACCAGATTTCAAAAGTATATTATTTATTAATAATTATGTATTTAAAATTAAAAATAAAATCAATTAAATTTAATTAAAAATTAAAAATTAAAAATTAAAAAGATTAAAAAAAAACAAAAAAAAGGATTAAAATAAAAAAAAAATGTATCTGAAAAATTTGAAAAAATTTAAATAATATATTTTTTTTTTACATTATAAAAAATAAAAAAAAAAATTACAAAAGACTAAAAAAATAAACAAATATAAATATAAGAAAAAAAATAAAAGAATTAAAATCAATATCCATATTATGCAAGCTAAGCTTTAATAACTTTAACTTATGGTAATTATAATTCTTTAGCTCTATTATTGTGTTATTATAATTTTTTTTAGAAATAAGTAGTAGCTCTTGTTTTTCTTTTAGTTTCGAGTTAATCAACAAGGGTTTATTTGCTCCATCCGACAGAGTTACATAAATCACCTAATGTGCAATATGGTCTATGATTTTTCAATCTTTAAACTTTTAATGCATCAACTACTACTTGTTTCTTTATTCTATCATAAGGAGCAGGTACTCCTTCAAAAATTTTTAGTTTTTCTATTAAATTAAATTATATATATTAATATTTACTCAAAGATAATATATATAAATTATATATATAATATATATTAATTTATATTTATATATATATATATATTTATTTATATATATATATTTACATAAAGCAGCAGCTCCTCTGGGTGTTAAATGAGGAAGCATGCCTCTTATACATCTCCAAAATATCTTTGAAGGAGCTCTGAAATGCTAGAAACCTCTTCTAGGGTTATGGTTCATCCATTTATTTAAAAATTCACTGAATTTAACTCTGTTTCTGAATAAGGAACCGGAAATGTTAATTCCTTCTGCTCTAACTACTACTATTCTTTGGCCAGATAAAAGTTCTTTAGCTACATATGATGCTAATCTACCTTATAAATGGCCTTAGGCGTCTATTACTACGAGTTTATCGAACATTTTTTATTTATATATATACTTTTTTGATTTTTTGATTTTATTTTTAATTTTATCAAAATAACATAATATTTATTTTTTTATTTAATATTTTAACTTAGTTTTATTTTGTCTTTTTTTATTTATATAAATTAAAAAAAATAGAAATAGTTTATGTAAAAAAATTGTTTTTAATAAAAAGATTCTCTTTTTAAAAAAACATACTCTTTATAAGAAAATAAATTAGTAAAACACTCGAAATTATTTTTAGTAATTGCATAATGCGCACCAACCTTTAACCCTAAACCCGATAAATGATTCTAATATTAATTTCTAAAAAGAGTAGTAGGTTCTAACGAATGAAGCCAGAAATCAATATCATAATCTAAAATAAACTTTTATTATTAATTATTTCAAGAACTACTCCCAAATATAAACACTATATTTATTATTACTCTATTAAGAAACATTTATTTTCATATTTTAATATTTACAATATCAATTTCATCTTCCAAAAGCCATATCTAATACTATTGTAACCGCAATAACTAGTAAATATAAAAGCCCGAAAATAAGACATCGAATATTCATTTTCGAAAGTATTATAAATATCTAAATATTGACAAAAAAAAAAAAATTAAGAGAAATAAAGAAAAGAATACTTTCAAAAATTGAAAAAAATACTCATAAAAGTATAGGTATTAAAAAATAACTAAATCTTCGAATTTCACAGCTAAATACTCCAAATAAAAACTTCCCCGAAACTAATAATAAAAAAAACTACTTTCAAATTAAATTTCCATTCCATAAAAAGAGATAAAAACACATGCTAAAGCATACTAAACCTCCAACTTAAATATCACCATTATTTTTTAATCTATATATAATTTTTATTTTTTATTTGATTTTATAAACACAAATTAATTTTATTTTATACATCTTTAATTCTGATCTGCATCTTTTTAAATCCTCAAAAAAGTTTTTATTGAAGAAACACATATCATTATAAATAAAGGTAATAAATTAACTATTATTCTCTTAAAAAATATATTATATTTGATTATAAGAAAACATATATTTGCAAGTTTTATAAATTATTTGATTATATTTTCGAAATAAAATTTAATTTAATTATTTTTTTATGTCTCTATTATATTATTCCAATGCTTTTTAAAATTACTTAATTATCTGTTATTTTTATATCTTTTATACTATAAATCTCATCATTGGTTAGGCAACTTTTTATTTAAGATTTCTCAGCTATTTTTTAAAAAGTAATTACAATTAAAATTTTTAAGGTCAAATCAAAACTTTGAAGGGGAGAATGGCCTTAATCAATAAGTGTTAAAAGTCCTGATAAAGATTTATTTATTAAAAAATAATTCAATTAAGGCCTTTTAAAATATCTAATAAGGTGATTTAAGACTTTTATTTTAAAAATATTATAATTAAGATTTTAAGGATCTTTTTGAAATAGTATTGTCTTATGGTTTAATTGATAAGAATTCAAAGTATTTTCACAAATTGTTTTTTTACTAATTTTTAAATTATATATATATTTATCAATACAATATATTTTATTAAAATAAAAAATTGAATAAATTAATAATGATGTTTATGTTGAAATTTATTTTAGAATTACAAAATATTAAATATTAAAAAAAAACGTAAACAATAAAAATAAAATAACAAAATTAAAAAAAAAAAAAATTAAATCTAAAAAAAAAAACAAAAAAAACAACATCAAAATTAAAAAAAAAAAAACTCATAATTTCTCCTTTAAAACATAAACATCATTCCTAACATGTTCCAAAGCCGGTAATCCTCTCCTTACTTCTGAAATTTTCTCCAAATCAATTTCTACGACTCCAACCCCTACTTCTTCTCCCATATCCAACAAGACCTCCCCCCAAGGATCCACTACAAGACTATGTCCAAAGCTTTTTCTTTCCATATAATGCTCTCCAGACTAAGCTGCAGCTATAACAAAACATTAATTTTCAATAGCCCTTGCCCTTAAGAGTACATGCCAATGTGCTTTTCCTGTTTTTTTTAAAAAGGCGCTTGGTACAACTAAAATTTCCGCTTTTTTTTCTAAAGTAAGTATTCTGTAAATTTCTGGAAAACGCAAATCATAGCAAATTGACAAGTCGAGCTTTCCAGCTGGCGAATGGACTACTTCGGGAATTTTTTATCCAAAATGAAATGTATTGCTTTCTTTATGGTATTTTTTTCATCTATTTATATAACGAATAAATGCAGCTTCTATATTCACTTATTATTAACCTCTATTGTCTATTATTAGATGAGTATTATATAATTTTGGTCATTAAATTCACTTTTTTACTAAAAACCACCTAAAGATAGCCATATATTATTTTTATGGGCTTCCGTTTTTAATTAAGTGATTGTTTAACCGGTAATATATTCTGCGTTTTCAATCACTTTTTTATATGTAGGTTAAATTGAGGTAAATGCTTCAGGAATAAAACATATTTTAGCCTATTTTTCGGATGCTAATTTTATATTTTATTATTAGAAAGTCCAAATTTTGTTGCTTGTTTTCAGTTGAACACATTTATATAACTGCAATTAAACATTTTTTTGAATTTTAAAGCATTTGTAATTTTTACAAATAGATGATTTTTTTTAATTATAAGTATTTATATTTTTCTTTTGCTTTTTAATAATAAATTAATTAAAATATGTTTATATATATAATACTTTTTATTATGTATTTTTTTTTTTTTTTTTTTTTTTTCGTTCATTATTTATTCAATTGCTTTATTTTATTTTATATATATTATGATATTTCTTCTTGTAATTCTTTTTAAGGAATTAAATCTTCTACTTTAAGTATATCTCTAGTATAAGGATCACATTAATCGTTTAAAAGATGTTTTTGAATAGAAATTTTGTCAACAATGACTTCACTAACAGGTAATTTTACTGGATTTATCATAATTTAATTAAGAATAGGGTCTAAATATTTATCTGGAATGTCTTTATACAAATGTTTATCTAATATTTCTTTTTATTTATGGAATTCAATTAATTATTCAATAAAATATTTAAACTTAATATAGTCTTTAAAATCTATAATTTTAATTCTTTAACAATAGAAATAGATTTTTTGAAAAAATCAATACAAATGTTATCTTCAATAATTCTATCAATAAAACAATCAAATTTAGAATAATTAAGATACATATTAATAATTATATAAATAATCTAAAAAAAATTCTAATAAATATCTTTGTTATTTTTATCAAATTTTCGACTTAATAAAAATAAAAATATAAATATATATAAAACTAAGTAATATATATATATATTTATATATATATATACATTTATTTTATTTAATTTATATTATTATTTTTACTTTTCAAAATTTAAAAAATTAATAGTTTTTTAAAATGATTAATTAATAAAATTTATGAAATTTTAACTTATTAATTAAGAAAGTAAAATATTATCAGAATATTTTGATAAATTTTTTACATTTTCAAAAAACGTTATTAAAAGAGTTTAATATTTCTATAAACTTATCTTCTTATTTTATATTTCTTGATTTTTTTAATTATACTATTACTTATCTATTACAAGTTTAGATTTTAAAATTTCTAATTCTTATATTTATTCAATTATTATAACTTTTTCGTCTATTAAATGTAACAAATCATTAAAATAAATGTTTCCAAATCGATAAAAAATTTAATTATTTTAATCTTTTTTTGCTAATATTATAAGTTTTTATGAATAATCATATAAATTTTATTCTGATTAAACTTTTAAAAGATATGTAAAAAGCTTACAAAAATAATACCTAAAATAATATTTATCAATCTATTACATTAATTAATCAAATTCCATAATTTTATAAGTATCAATATATAATTACAAAAGACTTTACATAATAAAATTCTAACAAATTTTGCTTTTATGAAAATTTTAAATTAACGAAACATTAGAAATACAATTGTAATTTCTAAAACAAGTAAAACTTGCAAGTAAAATTAATATTTTTCGTCTAAAATGAGGATTACAACACCAAACTTTGCTTCCCATTTAAAAAATAAATAAGTCAATTATTATTTAAAAAAATTCCTTTTAAAAATTTTATATATAAATATATTGAAAATAAATATACTTAATTCTATTATAAAATTTAAAAATTCTCATTTAAAAAAATTGTTAAGAATTCAATCATATCTTCGAAAATAAAAATAGGTATTTAAGCATATTATTAAGTATAGTTTTATTTTAATTCATAAGTTTTAGTTAAGTCACATTCATTAAATTTAAAAGCCAGTAAACTCTCAAATGCGAAAAATCTAATTAATAATTAATTTGTTTCTTAATCTTCCAGAAGTAAATCGAAATTTATTTTTTAATCATAAATTTAATTATATTTTCTTAAATCATAAAGTTTAATTTAATCTAATTCTATATATATTACATATTATTATTTCATTTTAAAAAAAATATTACCTTTTTATATATATTCATTTAATTCTTAATAAATTCGTATAAAAGGACTACTTAAATGAATAGAAGCCATAATATATCTAACTATTTAATGTTAAAACTATTAATTTTCACATTCAATTATTTACTTTTTTTATTTATTTCCTATCTAAATAACTTAAATACTATCATAATTTTCATAAAATCCGTTTTTATTAAATAAAATATTAGAATCAAATATTCCAATTGACTTATTAAGTCCTTCTATGTTTTCGAAATTAAAAAAATGTTCTGTAAATTTAAGCAAGACCTTCATAAAATTATAAAGAAATCCAAATCCGCAACATTCGAATTCAAAATTGAAAGTTTTAAGTACCGGCTTATTAAAATGGAGTATTTTTTCAATCCATAAAATAACTGAGTCTTACCTTGATTATGAAATATAAAAAAGTAATCCAAAAAAATTATTTAAGCAAATTTCTAATTTTTAAACGATTTTTTTGGCATTATTTTAATTTATATATTAATTTTCTCCTTATTTTAATAAATCTAAAAAATCCCATTAATTATTCCAACCTTATGGAACTGTATTTATAGATAAAATCAACCCAAAAATAGTATTGTTTTAAATTTCTTTACCACTTTTATGTTTTTCATTAATAAAAAAAGGACTTTCATCCAAAAAGTAATTCAAAACATATTTTTTTGTAAAAAGTACTTTCAAAATATCAATACAAGAATTAATGAAATTTAAATTTTCCAAAAAGTCATAATTATCAGCAATTTAATTATAAATGTGTTTTAATATTGCATTTAATATAATCTTACACTCACTTTAATATTCAGAATAAAGTCTTTCAATAATAGCATCAAAAATCTCGTATTAACAAACAAAAAGCTCTTCATAAAAATAAGATAAAAGTTCTTTTTTAATAGAAAAAATTTCCTCTTAAATTCCTAACTAATTCTCACAACTACTCATGCAAAAAAATTCGAAATTTAAGAGCAAATTTTTTAAATAATATATACAAGCATTTATTATATCCATAATATCCTTTGAACTTATAATGTTTTGACATTTTTTAGTCTTTTATTCATTCATTAATTTTTATATTAAAAGCAATATATATTATATTCTTTAATAATCGTGTTTAAATATTAAATCTTTTTGGCTAGAAAGAATTTAATATAATACTGTCTGTATTATATTTGTGCTATTTAAAATGGGCTTTTATAATTGAGAATCTATTAGTTTTGGTTTTATTGTAGATAAAAGATATTACATTATATTTACATTTTTATTTTCATAATTTAATTATAGTTCTAGAATATGTTTATTTTTATTTTTTATTTTTATTTTTTACGTGTAATTGGATAGTGAAGTATATTTTAGTAAAAATTGCTTATTTTTTTTTTTTATTTTGCTTCTTGTTAGATTGCTTTTCTTTTATTATTAGCTTTAAAGCAACCTGGAAATTGTGAATTATAAAAATTAATAGATAGGTTCTTTTAGTTTACTATTTGAATATTTTCTTTGTTATTATCTATATCTTTTGAAAATTTAGAATTACCCATAATGCTATTATTATACAATAAATATTAAATATTTAAAAAAATAATAATATTTATTTTAATTTAAATATTTTATAATTTTTATTTTTTTTTAAAAATAATAATATTAATATGTTTTTTTACTTTTTTGAATGGATTAATAAATAATTATTAATATTTTGATAAATTGTGTTTATATTTTAAATAAAAATAATATACTTGATATATATTTAAAAATTTATTTATATAAAATAAATAAGAATTTTAAAATAATTTAATTTATATAGAAATATGAATAATTTATTTAAATTAATAATTAATATTATATTATAGGAATATATATATGTTATTATAATATATTGAAAAAAAAAAAAAATTAATAAAAAAATATTATATTTTTAAATAAATGTTATGTATAAAATGAAAATACTTATTACAATATAAGTAACTAATATATTATTTATTTTAATATATCATAATTATTTAATTTTATTAATTTTTTAAATATCTAATTTTAAAAAATACGTTTTTATAATTTAATTATAAAATAAAACATTTATAATTTAATAAATATTCTGCATTACAGTAATAATCTTGTTTATACAAAATTAGTAAAATAATAATAAATTTAAATTATATTAATGTTAGTCATATAATTAAAATATATTATCAATAAAATAAGTTATATATTTGTAAATTTTATTCATTTATTTATTAAATACATAAAGAAATTATAAAATTAAATAATTTTAATAAAAAACATTCTATATTGAAATTTTGTTAAATAATTATATTTAAAATAATTTTTAAATAGAAAATACTATTTTTGTTAATGATTTTTTATATAAATGCTGTAAAAATAATTTTCTTTATTGTAAAAAATAAAGATTTTATTAAAATAAAAAATTTTGTAATAAATTATAAAACAAATAATAAAGTTTAATAAATAAAAATATAGAAAAAAAATTAAAAATATTATATATAATAAATTAAAAACAATATATAAATAATATATAAAACTTTTAAATTTTTCATTTTTAATACTTATATAATAATCTTTATTTTTTTTTAATATATTTAAATAGTTCATTATTTTATAAATCAATTATAATGAAATTCTTAAAATTTTAAAAGACAATATAATTAAAAATTTAATTTTAAGAAAATTATTACTTTATATTTCCTTAAATTTATAATGTCTATAGCTTTATTTTAATATTTATTAAAAAATAATTTTCTTTTTGATTTGAATATTTAGGCATGGAGTTATATTATATAAAAAAATATTTTTTTATAAAAATAAAAATAAGAAACTATAAAGATTGAAAAAACTTATAAATTAAATATTAAATAAGATTAAAATTGTAAAATAAAAAATCTAATAATAAAAATTTTTATAAGTAAAATAAATATTATATATAAATAATCATTAAAAAATAAAATATTAAAGAAAAAGTATAATTTAAAAAAATTAAAAATATTATATATATATATATATATATATATAAGAATATATT